GCTCGTTGGTTTGTCCTCTGAGTGTTCCGGGGTGTCTGACTCCTTGAGGCTTTGAGGACCAGGCTGGTGACAGGCTTCCAACTTTCCAAGTCTTTCAGGAACCACCTGCTGAATGTCCTCAGAACCGCTCATCCTATCATCGGGCTGGAGTCGCTCAACCGCTCCTGGCGATCCTTCTGAGAACTCGATTTCCATGTCTGTCTCCAAACCTTCCTGTGAACTGACGGCTCCAGAGGTCCCGTCTTGAGAAGCGTTCAGGCTTTGAGTTTCTTCCCTTCGGGCCTGACTGTCCGAGAGCAGAGGCCCTCTGCAGTCTTCGCTGCAGTGAGATGATAAGATTAAATATTTGGGAATACTAACTGACTGGCTATCCTTCACTAGCAAGTGGCATGCATCCAAAATGTAGCGTTTCAGGTGGACAATCAGGACCCTGGGGAGCCTACTGACATTTTGGATCCCAACAGAACGGCCATGCTTGCACTTCCCACACTTGTACTCAAGTTCCTCCGCTCTGAAGAAGAAGTCCAGAGAGTCTTGGAGAGACCACGCTCCTGGTTGCTCTTGGGACAGGCTGATGGACAGGTAATTGCTCAGGTCTGTCTTGCAAACAACCTCACCACAGGCTTTACAGATGATGGAGCACTGTAACTCCACCTCAAAATTGGCCCTCACAGGACAAGGAAAGTCTCTGGGGGCAGCCTGAGCAGCCAGCACCTGAGGCTCTGCTTGTCCATCAGCCGTCTCCCTGACTCCCTGGCCAGTGCTCTGCAGCTTCTCCATGTCTTCCTTCAGCTGACTCAAACAGTGCCCTAAAAACTCCTGAGCGTCATTCTGAGTGTTGCTGGAGTAGATGTCAGAAACCTGAGAAATAGACCTTTGAATATCCACCAGAAACTCTTTCTTGGTCTCTACATCACACAGATCTTTGAACACAAGCAGCTGGCGCAAGCCCAGGCTAAAGGCTCCTGCGGGAAGCATCTCCCACGGGATTCCTTGTCGGGTTAAGCCGTCAGCAAACGATGGAACTGCAAACAGTGACTGTAAAATAGCATTCATGTAACAGGTGTTCCCCATATTGGGGAAACCTGGCCCTGATTGTTCTGGGGGACTCTCGCCAGGGAGCTGGGACTCATTCCACGGGGGCTCATTCTGGGCCCCGCTGGGTTCTGACAGAGGGTGTTGTGCAGACAGCATCTGGGTGTCATGAACATTGTCATGGGCATGAGGGTTCCCAGCAGAGGTGGTGTCGAATGAAGGCCTGTGTTCTGATTTCATATGATTTACTCCATTTTCTGAGGTGCACAGTTTCTTCCTATTGCTTGGCATACACTTTAAGTCATCTCCCTCCAATTTGTGTAGGTCGGAGCTATCCTCTCTCAAAAAGTCCTCACCCACTTCCAGGGTTGATGACGCTGTTTCTTTTATCTCGTCGCGTGAGCTTTCGAATGGTCTTTTCTCACCAGGTCTTGGTGCCTTGGCTGGGAACGGAGGCATTTCCTCAGGAACGGAGGCTCCACTCGTGTTGTCTGGCTGACTGAGGGGCCCAGGCCTTGGCTCGCCACCAGCGCTCTGCCAGGAGATCGGGTTGCTTTTTTCCTGTGTCGTCTTCCTGCCAAGAGCACCACAATCGCGGTCAGGGTTGGTGGCTGATCTAGATGTCTTTCGGCAGTCTCGGTCCAGGAACATCTTCAACTTCTCAGCCTCTCTGCAGGATAATTCCTCAATGTGAAGGGAGAAATCATTTTGGAATGTTACATGGAGGCTAATCCGTCCTGCCCTGGAGTAGTGACGCACTGTTCTTGTAATATCACGTAGCTCGAAAACCCCAACACATGAATTAGAGTCGAAAATAATGATCAGTCTACTTTCCTTTTCTCCTGGCACCATTTCAATGCACGCTCCTCCCAGCTTAGTCATCCTCTTGCGTCGGCTCCATGTTTGGATGACACCGCGTATCTTTGGAGGACTCATGGCTTCCTGATGGAAAGTATCCATGTAACCTTCAGAGAGCAGGAAGACACATGTTCACTTTAGTCCAGAATGTATCAGCAGGATCACCTCCACCCAGCACCAATAGAGCCAAGGTCAAAGCCGAGATCGCAGCAAATCCCGGTGACCTTGGGAAGGGATTGCAACGGTCACATACTGGTTGGAGAGCTGTACTTGTTCAACCAGTGTGAGGGAAGACATGGGTGGGAGGAGATGGAGGAATGTCACTGCCCAGCCAAATACGGTAATTACCCTCTCTGAACAAGGTTTACAAAGAAACACGAGAGGATAAAAAAACAAGCCTGTTTGCGGACCCTCCGCAGTAGAGCCGAGAGCTGAGCAGCACAGCCCGACACTTCACAGGGAGGACGCAGTCTGGAAAAGTCCTGCCAAGCTACAGGCTGCTAGACTCAACGGACAACCAATCCCCCCAGTGATTCCGCACCACAGGAGAGGAGATGGCGATGATATAAATCAGTGCAGAGAAGGCAGCTGAGAACACTCACTGCCTGTTGTTTGAAAGGGCTCTGTAAAAAGAGGATTGGCAGGGAAATTCTTTAAGATGTTAATATGTTAGCCATCAGTGATGAACGAATGACCCGCTTCCATTCCATGGAGAAAACCTGAAAGCCTTCAGCCGTTCCACGTGGCAAGCAGACAGGGTGCCCTTTACCAGCACACGCCTATCACACAGTCCCGGCAGCCTGTGCTGGAGCTATTGGACATCAAAAGACATCAAAGGCATCAAAACTGGCAACGATGAGGCCAAGTCTATGGATCTGCAGATAACATGATCTTAGAGGTAGAAAATTCTGATTCTCAATAAAGAAATTTGTCGAAGTCATTAAAAAGTTTGGCATGGGAGTGGACAATGAGATCAATGCACAAAACTCAGTAGGGTTCTTGTATATTCAGGAAGAGGAATCTGAGAAGGTTTTCAAAAAGTAAACAACTACTATTTAAATAGTCATCTAAAGATTAAAAAACCTTAAAATTAGTCTAAGTTATTGTATAGAGAACAAAACACTTACATAATGAAAACTATAAACAAAGCCCAACAGAAATAACACGATTCTGCAATCTCTCTTTTCAACATTAAACTCAAAGAGGTCTAGAACAAAATTCAAAAGGTATAGGCACACCCATGTTGACCGTATCTCTATCTACAGAGCAAAGATGAAAGCAATCAAAGATCCTGCCTGTGGAGGGATGAATAAGTAAGTCCTGGGGCATCCGTACAGTGGAATAGTATGAATCTCTCAACAACAACAAAAGAGATTGTCAATCACCTCACCCCTTGGATGGATTTTGAAGACATGAAACTCAGCAACGTCAAGTCCACCTCATAAAGACAAGTACGACATGACATGACAGCGGCTGTGAACTATTACTGAAGGGGGAAAAACAACTAAGCACACTGGTTTTTAACTCAAAGCAGGAGACTCTGGAGGCTAATGTTAAGTTAGCAGGGAGGAGGCAGGGACAGGGAAGGGGAGGAAGGACCTGGAGGGGCAGTGAAGAAAAGAAACAGCGTAGATTGGTGGCCTGGGGGCTGGAGTGGTTTTCGCGCGGTACTGTTAGTGTTCGGATGAGTTAGGTTGAGCAAATCTAACGCTCCTGTGTCTGTTCCACTCCAACAAGAGACCGGGTGGTGCAGCGGGTTAGGAATTGAACTGCTAATCCCAAGGTCGGCGTTCCAAGTCACAGGTCAGTCCGCGTGAGGAAGATGAGCCTTTCTATTCTTGCAATAGACCGGAAATCAATGGGGGCAGTGTCGATGCATGGCTGCAGGTCCTGTGGGTATGCTTGGAGTTGTAAGGGAAGAGAAATATGGATCACAGCCAGGGACATTCTATGAGACCGTCCAATTTCTTTCCTCATCCGACCTCAGCACCTGAACTGGCCTGAATGGCTCCAAAAGGAGGGCAGGTCACACCGAAACGGACTTCATTGCTTTTGTGATACAGCGACTACTTTCAAATAAATGGTAAAAGAACAAAAAGAAAGAAATATGGAACTCCCTTTTAAAAATGGGGATAGTTCAGTGATGGGCATCATGTAGACCATTGGACAGCCCCTCACAGAAAGGTCACAAGGAAAAGATGAGCCAGTTAGGGTGCAGTATAGCACCGATGAAATATACAACTTTCCTCTAGTTCTTTAATGCTTCCCCTGCCACACTATCATGACCTCAATTCTACCTTACAAATCTGACTACACCAGAATATGCACATGCTACAGATAAGAGCCCACAACACAGGGAATGCAGGATAGATTAACCCTTCAGGACCAACAAGGAGAATAGAGGTACCAGTAGGATAAGGGGAAGGTGGGGGAGAAAGAAGAAATTGATCACAAAGATTGACATATAACCCCCTCCCAGGGGGTGAACAACAGAAAAGTGGGTGAAGGATGACAGAAGATGATGTAAGATATGAAAATAATAACATGTAATTTATCAAGGGTTCATGAGGGAGGGAGGAAAATGAGGAGCTGATATCAAGGTCTCAAGTAGAAAAAATGCTTTGAAAATGATGATGGCAATCTATGTACAAACGTGCTTGACACAATGGATCAATGTATGGATTGTGATAAGAGATGTAAGATCCCCCAATAAAAGTATTTTAAAAAAATAAAGAGATGAACTCCCACCACGTGCACCTCCCCCTGCCCCCTGGGAATAAAAATACCATAGGATTCAACATTTCCTCCCTTTGGTATGCATTAGGGAGAAAGATGGGGCAGGAATGGATACGGGCATCCCACGTTCATCACAATGGCTAAAGATCGCGTCAGAGGTTGGGTTCTGTAGAGAAACAAATCAGCGGCACTTCTATGTAAGTGTATGAAGAGAGGTATTTACAGCAAGACACGTCTACAACTTACCAGGTGTAGAGAGCTAGTAAGTAGGGTCTAGTTAGTGTCTGTGGGTTAGAAGGGATGCTCCAGGCTCCTCCTGGTTTCTGTAGCTGAGGCGGGTTCACCAGCCAGGAAGCAGGAAGAGTACAAGCCGATGGCTGGAACGACGAATGAATTCAAGGTTGACAATTCCTTGATGGGTCCTGGATCAGGAGGCAAGATGGCCGGAGGACAGTGAATTATTTGCAGCACAGAAGTGAAAACACACTGTCCAAATGGGGCCACTAAAAAAGGGCAGGCCACACCCTTACAATTTCATAAATGTTTGTGTCTCATTAATGGGTTGCAGAGTTCACTATATTGTGGAAGATTCTGCCATGGGGTTCTTACTGCAAAACTACATTTCCTGTAACCTAGCATGTCTCTCTTCCACATACATACACAAACACAGAGATATATCTACATTCCATTTCCGCCTATATACATGTGTGTGTGTGTGTGAAGAGGAGCTGATGCCAAGGGTTCAAGCAGAAAGAAAATGTTTTGAAAATGATGATGGGAACGTATGAACAAATGTGTTTGATACAATTGATGCACAGATTATTATACGAGCTGTCAGAGCCCAAATAAAATGATTTATTAATAATAAGAAAGAAAGAAAATGGATCTTTCCAGGAAGACCATTTTTAGTTGTTTTTTTTAAATCAATTTATTGGGGCTCATACAATTCATCACAATACATAGATCAATTGTATAGAGCACATTTATACATTTGTTGCCCTCATCATTCCCACATTTTTAGTTTTTAATGAACTTGTAAACCCCAAAGTTCTCGCTTCAAAATAAAAACAAAACCCCAGCTCATCTAAAAATAAAAATATATATGTGTGTGCAATGTACACACATGTGTATGCGCACATATACATATCTCCCAATATCCCAACACATATAATGTTATTCTTATGAATGGCCACTAAACTCTAATTCACAGTGACCATACTACCGGGCATAATCGTGGCTGTGCAATATTTTAAAATTAAAAAGAAGAAAAATGGGTTTCACAACCATAGGAAGAGGTTTTCCAGGCGACGGCAAGGTCCTGGGGAAGGACAGGATGCCCAGTTGGAGAGAAGGTTACACCACTTGTCTGTCAGTCTGTCTTATGGCAGTGGCTTGTGTGTCACTGTGGTTCTGGAAGCTGCTACACCACTGATACTTCAGAGGCCAGCACGTCGCAAAGCGAGGCAGTTTCCATGGAAGAACCGACAATGGAAATGGAATCAGCTGCCCACCTCAGAGGAAGTCCCCCTGAAAACCTTATGCAAATTCTGAAGGACACGACAAGGTCCTGGGGTAGTAGGCTGGCACCCAGAGGGACTGGCTGGAAGTCTGAAAAGGAAGGGAAAATCCAGAGGAAGGGAGCTTACTGGGATTCCTCACTGTTCCAACCATTCGGGCTGTAGGTTTGTATTACACACTGGGAGACTAGGGGTCTATTGGGCTGCGAACCTCAAGGTCAGCCGTTCCAAACCACCAGCTACTCCATGCGGGAAAGATGAGACTTTCTACTCCTGCAAAGAGTCATGGTCTCAGAAACCTAGCTCCGTGTTGCCCTGTCCTGTAGGGAGAGAATACTGCATGGTGTAAAATCAGGAAAATGATGGGACACATTTGGATCCTCTCACTGGTGATACTGGTTCAAACTGTGTGTGGAGCAAATACTCAGAGAAGAGCGCTTAGATGGGGAAGAATGTGGTGTCCATTTCTGAGGGAAGCTTGTGAGCAAACTTTGATGTGCAGAGGACACAACCTTGCTCACTGAACGTGAGGAGGACTTGAAGCCTTGCTGACGCAGAGCAAGGACTTCCGCCTTCAGTGTGGATGCGTATGCATTATCAGGAAGACCAGACTCTCACAACTGGACAGATGTTAAGTAACCTCATGAAAAATGAAGGAGAGGTTGACATTTTCCAGGACTTTGTCTCGTTGGATCCACAATCAACGCTCACGACAACAGCAGTCAAGACATCGAAAGAAGAGCTGTGATAGGTGAATTAGGAGCACAGAACCTCTTTAAAAGATGGAAAAGCAAGGAGGTTATTTTGAGGACTAAGGCGGATCCAGAGCATGGCATTTTCAGTGGGCTCAGCTGCTGTGGAAGTTGGCCGTTGAATCGAGAAGACCGAAGAGGAATCAGTGCATCTTGAATGGTCGTGCTGGAGAAGAACATTGAAAACACCGCGCACTGATCAATCTATTTTGGAAGAAGGAAGGCCGAAGGCCTCCTCAGAAGGAAGGATGGGGGTTTCATTGCGGACTTTGGACATGTCGGGAGACACCAGTCCCTGGAGAAGGACCTCAGGTATGCTAAGGTAGAGGGGCAGAGAAAGAAAGGGGGCCCCTCAAAGAGACGGATTGACACACCGGCTGCAGCAGTGGACTCAAGCACAGGATCAATTGTGAGGGTGGTCCAGGACCGTGCAGTTTCACTTTCTGGTGCAGGAGGTCACTGTGGGTTGGAACCAACCCGAGGGCACCAGACCACAGCATAGAACCCACCCCAGAGAAAGATGGGGCACGAGTAGATTGGAACACATCCAAGTTTCTCACAATGATAAAAGGTGATGCCTTAGGCAGGTTCCTGTGGAGAAACGATACAGTGACAAGTCTATGTGCACAGACACAGAAAGACATTTAATCAAAAAATGACTCACCTCGTCGTAAAAACCAGTAAGTCCACTCCGATTCAATTCTGTGGCTCAGCCAGCTCTCTTCGTCCAACTTGTGGAGGTGGGGCTGCTTGTCTAGCCCAAAGCTTGAAGACCACAGGCTGGTGGATGGAAGGGCAAGGAATCCAAGGCTTGCAGTCTGGTGCTGACTCCAAAGGTCGGCAAGATGCGGTAGCAGGTCTCAGAACGGGGTGCAGACACCCACCCGACAGGATGGAGGAGCCTTCCCTGGGAGTCTGCGAGATAAGCGCAGCCACACCCTCGGGTCACCTTTCCTCTAATTGCACGCTGACGGCTGTCTGCTCAACGGGTCCCACAGCTGCTGGTTTCTTACAGACTCGATGGTGTTATGGTAAATCCCACTACAGAGCTTTGACGCGAACACATTTCCCACAGCTCACCTTGTCTCTCCTAAACAAATAAACACATACATCCAATTAAAGATCCCCTTTTCCCCTATACATGACATATGTGAATGTGTGTGAAATGTTTGTATGGACACACCTGGACAAGTCACTTCTAATTTCCCAACAGATAGGACCAGTCTTCTTTCCGATCACTGACGCTAGGTCAGTTCTGGCTCACCTTGTCTGTGGAAACAGGTGATGGAGAAGCTCAATATCAGCAGCTAAGACCAGGCCCGGGGCTGCCTGCTGAACAGACCATCCATGGCTGACACTTAAGTTCAGGCTGAAGCTGAAGAACATTAGAACGAGACCATGAGCGCCCAAATACCGAATTTAAAGAACAGATTTTCTGCGTTGAATAAGGACAGAAGACCCCAACAAACCGTGTGAGGACATTCAGAACATGTTTCGAAAGTCATTACAAAAGACAAGTAAGGAATAAAAGCAAGATCAAAGTGGGTGTCAGAAGAGACTCTGCAACTTGCCCTTAATCGTCGAGTAGCCAAGGCAAATGGAAGAAATGATGCCAAAGAGCTGAACAGGAAGCTTCAAAGGGCAGCTCAAGAACACAAGGGAAGGCACTGCATGAGATGTGCCAAGATCTACAGTTAGGAACCCCGGAAGGAAGAATATGCTCAGCAGCTCTTAAACAGAAAGGAGTAAGGAAAAGTTCGCACCTCGAGATGCACAATGGAAAGATTCCATAGGCAAAGATGGAATGATGTTGGAACCATCAATGGAAGCTGGAAAGAATACACAGAGTAACTGACAAAAAGAAGCAGGCAACATTCCATCACTTCAGGAGGCAGCATATGAGCAATAACTACTGTTACGGAATGAGTCATTCATGCCGCACTGAAAGCATTAGCCAACGCTTTACGATGGGTAGTTCTGCTGCGCAAGGATTCTTCCAAGTGTCGCGAAGCAAGGAGGTTCCTTAGAGGACTGAAGTGTGCCTGCCCCAACCATCGCATTGTCAGTCACCTCATGGAATCGGGAAGACCGAAGAAGAACCCTGTGTCTGAACTGTGGCACTGGAGAAGAACACTGAAGGTACCACAGACTGACTTCTTCAAGGACGAACAAATCTGTCTCGGTAGAAGTGCAGACAGGGTGCTCCTCCGAGGAAGGATGGCAAGACTTCATCTGACATGCTTTGGACATGTTATTAGGAGAGATGGAGGAGCCCCGGGGGAGTAGTGGTTATGGGTTGGGCTGCTAATCACAAGTCAGCAGATCAAAACCACCAGATGCTCCGCGGGAGAAAGATGGTTCTTTCAATGCTGTGACGACTGATGATCTCAGAAAGTCACGGGGGGCAGTTCTGCCATGCGCTGCACGGTAGCTGTGAGTGGGTATCAACTCAATGGCAGGTAGTTTTGGTTTTTTTTTTAATCCGTAGAATCCCGTCCCTGGAGAATGACATCATGCGTGATAGAGGGGCAGCAACTATGAGTACGGACCTCAAGGAGATGTACGGACACAGCGGCTACCACACCGGGCTCAAGCACGGGACCAAGTGTGCGTATGGTGCAGGACCAGGCAGTGTTTCCCTCGGTTGTGCATAGGGGTGTTCTGGGTCCGAATGAACTCAATTGCACCAAACAACAGCCATCACTCCTGATGTGATGTATTAAATTCCGGGGGCTCGATATACCCAGGGGCTATAGTCCCATGTTGGAGAGCATTTCTCCATTATACAAAGGGAGACGATTAGGGTGGGATTAGCACCTGACTTTGGTAAAGGTTGTGGACTGTGATGTGCTCTTACTCCTTGAGAGAATCTCTAAGATCACACTCCTGTGGAGCTTGTGAACCAAACCAAATCTTTTGTTACCTTGAGGGTAACTTTAAACTCCCACTTTATGACCTCTCTGACCGAGCCTTGTTATCAGAAAGAGAGCATCGTAAAGTAGATTATAGCAGCTGCAGTTAGGTTCCAATGCAATGTCTTATCATTTGATCTCCCTTTTGACCCACTTTAAAGTTATTCCAGTTTTGTTTCATTTTTGAAGTGTAGGAGTCCCTTCTGACCATACACCATAGACTTGCTATCATACAGAATGCCTTGAAAGTAGATTACTACAGAGGCAGTGAGGTTAAACTATAAGATCCGATCATTAAAAAAAGACCTGATAATTTCATAGTCAGTCCACTCGATTCATTTTAAATTTGTTTTACTTTTTAATATTTTCTATGTTCTTTTAAAATGAGGCGATCTGTTTAATTTCATGATTGTTAGTTTGTGATTGTTGTTGTTTTAATGCTTTTCTGTATCTGAAATCCAGGATAGGTTGATCTATAGAGACAATAACTACTTGGGAGTATGAGAGGAGAGGTTGTGGGAAAATGGGGAGCTATTAACAAAGAGTACAAGAACAAAAAATGTTCTGAAATGGATTGTGATTGAATTGTAGATGAATAATATACCAATAAAACTGTTTAAAAAAAGAAAGTAAAGCTAAAAAAAAAGAAGCAAGTTAAAACAAAGAAAAAGTATGTAATGTCCTTAAACACATGGGACTAGAAATACCATACAGTCTAGAATTTCCTCTTCTTTGTATGTGGTAGAGAAAGATGGGGGCACAAATACGAGCACTCCCATGTTCATCACAATGGCAAAAAGTTGTCGTCTTTGACTAAATTCTATAGAGAAACAATACAGTGACGCTTCTATGTGTATGGATATAGAAAGGTATTTATACTAAAAGTGGCTCACCTAGTTGTAGAAGCTGGTAAATCCACCCGAGTCCAGTCTGTGGGTCCATGAGAGCTCCAGGCATCTCCTGGCTTGTGTGGTGGGGGCTGCTTTTCTAGCCAGGAAGCAGGACAGCCATGAGTCGGGGATAGAAAGTCAACTGAATGCAGGGTTGGCAGTCAGATGGTGGCTCCTGGCAGCAGCAGGTCCAGGCACCACTTGCAGGACACAAAGTCAGCAGAAGGCAGGAGCTTTCCCACTGCATCTGCTTAAATCCAGACAGCCACACCCTGGAGACATCTTTCCTCCAGTTACACCGTTATCTGTGATCTTAACAACTGCTGCTGGCTGCCAGAGTCGCTTGTGTTCCGAAAACTTGTGGAGTTAGAACAAGAACGTATTTCCTATACCATAACTTGTCTCTTTTCAGCCTAGCCTGGGTGAAGGGCCTGAGCCAAGCCACAGGCTTTTGATTTGTTTAGTATTTCCCCCTTGGAGGCATGGTTAAGACTCCACCTGAGTAGAGAGGGTTAACTACACCAGAGCCAGTGTGTCCTTGTGGTCAGCTTAAAAGCCCCACTTGGATACCCCGTGTGAAGCAAAGCCACACTCTCTGTGGATAGTTCCTGGGTTCCCAGCCGAGGTGACAGGAAAGGGAAGGACCATTGAGAGGGTCCAGATCTAGCAGAAAGGACAAGTTTTCCCACAAAGTCTGTTGAAAAAGGGCAGGCCACACCCCTGCGGAATTTTGCCTTCCAATTCCCTCAAAGCTGTCATCTAATCAAAGGACCTCACTCCAGTACAATGGAGGGCTCCTCACCGGATTGATTGTGTTACGGGAAATCCCATCATGGGCTTCCCCAGACACCAGGTGTCCTTTAGCAAAGCATATGGTTCTTATTCATACATACACTTACAAACAGCTATAGATACCTCACTTTCACTTATATAAGCTATGTGTCAGTATGCGTGTAGCCTCTGTATGGACCTGTATGTGCATGTAGCTCCCTTTTCCACAAGATATAATCGCTGTTATATTCTGGTGTAGACCACTAAGTTCTGATTCGTGGAGACCCTGTGGGCAACCGAACCGGGCTTCGTCCAGTCCTGCGATGTTTTCTTCATCGTCATCATCGTCATCGTCATCACTGGCGTGCTCAGTTATTTGAGTGCCTTCCATCCCAGTGGACTCTACTTCCGAGAGCACATCTGCTAAGACGCCCCTGGTTTAGCAATGAATCTGCAGGCCTCTCTTCAGAGTCTGGCCTGGTCTGGAGCCTCCACGGAAACCTGTTGTCCTGCCTTATCCTGGTATGTTTGCAAGACCCGTGGTGTTCATTTCAGCATGGAGACTACACGAAAGCCATCAGGCGTGACAAATTGAACACGCACTGTATGCCAGTTGTAAACCACTTGTGAAATACGGCTTTGTTTTGGAAGGCGGGTAGGTAACCTGAGAGGGTGGTGTTTTCTGGTTTGGCATTGTTTAGAACTGGACGGCTCAGGAACAAGGTACCTTCGAGTCGTGGGCCGGTGAAAACATGGGAAGCATCACCCGGCAAACTTAGATGGGTCTTCGCTGGATTCGGCAGAGACGCAAACTCAGCCATGATTCCATGTGTACTTGTAGAAAGACATTGCTATCAAGACTGGTTCACCAGTTCAAAGCTCTGTGTTGGGCGAGAAGCTCCAGGCTGCCCCCGGCTGCTGCAGCTGGGGCAGGTGGATGAGGCCGGGCGCAATGAGACCACAGGATGGTGGATGGGAACGTGAAATGAAGCCACCTTTGGTGGTCTATAGATGGCTTCTAGAATCAGCAGGGCTTGTGTCAGGGGTCAAGGCAGCCAACGCAGGGTGGAGACCCGACAGAAGCGGTAAGCTGTCCAACTGAGTCCACTTATGAAGGAGCAGGCCCACCCTGGTTTTTCTTTCAATTTCCTCAAGGCAGTATCTGACCAAGGGACAGCGCCCAGTGTGGATGAGGTCATGGCCGATCCTGCCATGGGTCACTACCCCAGCACTGCAATTCTGGTCACCTACCCTCTCTTACACACACACACACACACACACACACACACACACGTTCCATCTCCACCTATGGACCATATGTGTGCCATGCCCACATGCGCCTACACCCACATGCCTATCTCCCAATATCCCCACCCCTAAAAACAGGGTGATTCAAATTCGTTGCCATGATGAATACATCAATTCACGATGACCCAATGAACAAATACTACACGACAGCACAGCGGCTGTGCACAACTATAAAATTTAGAAACTAAGAAAAATGGTTTTGCTGCCAAATGGAGCAGAGTTTGAAGGCTACAGTGAGGCCCTGGGGGTAGTAGCTGGGGACAGGAAGGGACGGGATGAAAGGCCGGATGGGGGATGGGGGAACCGAGATAGACCCACACACAAGACACAAAGGGCTTCCTGGGATAGCTCACTCTTCTGCAAGGCTAGGTTGTGCCAGTGTGCTGTTCCCTGAGAAAGTCAGGCATCAGGAGCCCTGGTGGCTGAGTTGGTCGTGAGTTGGGCTGCTAACCTCAAGGTCAGCTGTTCCAGACCACCGGTGACCACATGGGCCACAGATGAGCCTTTCCACTCTCCTAAAGAGTTACACCCTATCGATGTGCATGAGGGGGGGTGCAAAGTGGGGACTCAAAGCCCAGCTGTAGACAATTGGACATCCCCTCACAGAAGGGTCATAAGGA